TCGCACCGGTACAGGTGCGTGCGGTGCCTGTTATTATGACAATAGTCGCGGCTGCAGGAAAAACAGCAGTAGTGCCGTTATAAAGTTGTGAATGAAAACGTAATTTGGACTCGAAAATAATTAAAATCTATATCCTTACTGTACTATGACGGGCTGCTGCAGTGGTACTATCCAATACTTTTATTAGAAGTAATAGTCCTGAGGCTTCACTAGAGTATACTTTTTTGAATATGCCACAAAGATGGGACACTACCTGCAAAAACGAAGTGAGTTTACCAAACTAAGTTATGAGATACTGGCTCTATGTTTCCAAACATAATGTAATGCCCGCAATATTGTGGGTATCCTTTACACAGATATTGAAGAATATAAGCCATTTTTAGTGGTAGGTTGTGGGGGGAGGGTGTCTATCAGGCCAAGCTATGTGAAGGATACATTTACATTGCCAACTCCACACGAAACGATGATTACGATATACAGTATGACGTAAGCACTCTACGAGACGCCTCCATCACGTGACGCCTGCTGTGTGTGACGATTAAGCTGTGGGTTATACCGGCGCGGGTTAGAACGGCCCGTTTGTCGGAGTGACCTCTCACATCTCACATTACACGCAGTGTGACTTATCTGTGACCTGGAGTTCCAAGCCGTCTTGCGCGAGCACGAAATTTAAACTTATTCATTGAAGTTTGTTACAGATGTCCTGAAGAGTTGAATGGTTACTCCAAAGACCGGTAGGGCAGGGCGGGGGAGAGTGTATTTGCTGTGAGAGAGTGTATTTACCCATGATGTGACAGTGTAGGAAGAAGAAACGCTATGAACAGTATATTGTGGTGTTCCTACTCGGCAGGCAAAACCGACAGATAGGTGGTCGAGCCGAGCGCGTGCACGAGCCTTCAGTCGGCAGAGCTCGCGCACGAGCCTTCAGTCGGCAGAGCGCGTGCACGAGTCAGTCGGCAGAGCGCGTGCACGAGCCTTCAGTCGGCAGAGCGCGTGCACGAGCCTTCAGTCGGCAGAGCGCGTGCACGAGCCTTCAGTCGGCAGAGCGCGTGCACGAGCCTTCAGTCGGCAGAGCGCGCACACGAGCCTTCAGGTGGCAGAGCGCGTGCACGAGCCTTCGGTCGGCAGAGCGCGTGCACGAGCCTTCAGTCGGCAGAGCGCGTGCACGAGCCTTCAGTCGGCAGAGCGCGTGCACGAGCCTTCAGTCGGCAGAGCGCGTGCACGAGCCTTCAGGTGGCAGAGCGCGTGCACGAGCCTTCGGTCGGCAGAGCGCGTGCACGAGCCTTCAGGTGGCAGAGCGCGTGCACGAGCCTTCAGGCGGCAGAGCGCATTAACGCTCCGGACCCGACACAGATCTTCTGGATCTGTGCTCAGCAATGGAATCCATCGCCCTGCAATGGCTCCGAACATGACAATTATAAACTTGTGCTAGACTTCCATCATGCCCCAAATAAAAACGATATTCATTGTCATGAACACCATGAAACGAAATACGCCTCAACCTGTGTGCGTGCCATTGCAGCAGCGTGGGTGTTGGCTGCATGGCCTCAGCCACCTGCCGAGTATCCAAGCATTTGTTGGTAGCAAACATAGTTTCCCAGTGCTCCGCGCGCCTCGCGCTATATTATTGATACAGGGGAGGGGGGAGGGTGCCACCGTTTTCCCACGTCGCTCAGGCACGCCGACCGATCATCCAATGCCTTTGTCCCCTGTCGGTCTCATCCAGTGACCCCGCTGACCGTGGTCAGGCAGCAGCAGCAGGCAAACAAGCATGGCGTTCGGGCGCCCGCAGCGCCATCTCGCGGCAAACTACCGCATCTGTACAAGATGGCATGCTGGCCTTAACTGAATTGTTAGCAGCAGCGACCCGATATTTTATAGCTTTTGTGGAATGTGCATACACGTCTCGCATCAAAGCTTCCAAGACATCAGTTGCACAGAGGCGGTTGCAGATCTCCGTTTTTGGTAGGTAACTTGTTATGTAAGGAGAGTATTAAACGCAATATTTCTGCCACAGTTTCGCTGCATTTTGTGAAATAAAATCACGAATTCGTTCATTTAATCATACGCATCCCTAGCTCTGGGTATATACACACGTCATCCAGATACGATACAGATGCGCACTCAGATATTAAACATGGGGAAACTACTGGTGCTGGTCTTACATTTTTTAGATGGCACGTGCGAGCAAGTGACCATGGAACTCATTTCCACATCACACTTATGACGTCAGGCTTCCAAAAACAAAAGATTCCACATAGGCGGCTCGAGACTCTGCGGTTTATTAGATCGACTGCGTTGTACAAGCTCAACTGAAAGCGAGGGTGTGTGGGCAGGGTGCCGCTGTCTGAGCTCGGCTGGGGGAGGGAGGCTTGGAGCGATAAAGCTCACCTAGCCAACCTCCAAATTCCCGGATTTCGGCCACTGGATTTGCGTCCCTGATGCCAAAATAAGAATGAAAGAAAAACATTTGTTCCGTTCTAATATTGTTTGCATGTGATGCGGAAGCGCTTAGTCCTACTAAGTAACAACCCCAGCGTGGTAGTATGCTTCCGCCACAACTATGGATTCTCTAAAATGGGGAAATCCAACTACACGATCCCATACATACATTACGTACGACTATGCATCAAACATATTTGGCAGGAGCGCACTGAGGTAATCAAAGATAGGGGAACCGATCAAGCCGTTTGATGAGGAAAAGGGACGCAAAGGGTGCTTCCCCCTTCGGTCGCACTGAGCCCGCCTAATGTTTGAATTTTGGTTTTATCTTTGCATCATAAAAACCTGCACATTTGGAGCTGAACTCTGTCAAGCTAAACAGTCGAAATATAAATGTATCTATCTGCCCATTCGTTTGGTTATTCTACGAGTAATAAGACTATTTAGTGACCCCTGACTACCTGAGTGGTCGCTCAAACGCTGCTTCAAATATTTTCCGTAGGTCAGGACCGAACCCACGCACTCCGATCGGCTGCAGCGTCGCAGCCCATAAACATCTCCTGCCAGACCCAAACTCAGCTGAAGGCAGTCATGGCGAATCTGAAGGGAGGGACAGCCCGAGCGGTCACTTCCAGCGCGAAGTCAAAACGCCTGATTGCGCCTTCGGACCCGTATTCGGTATGAATTGACCATAATTCTGACGTATGCGATGTATCCGTCCAGCATGGCAGGCGACAGTGGGAGCGTTGCCAGCCTGAATCACTCGGTTGTTATCGACCGTTCTCGGTGACGTCACTTGGTTCAAGGGCGTAGCGGCAGAGCGTCGCTACAGTTTTCCGTCACAGCGGCACCTGGTGGCCGCATACTAGCGCCGCGTGGCGGAATAAATCCCACTTGTCAGAATCTGTGGAGAGATGGACAGAGCCCGGCCTGGCAACAACGTCAAAATAGCACACCGACTCCGTCCCAACTGTGGCTGCATCGCGTGTTCCTGTCCCAACTCTAATGTTCGCCTGTTCCTGCCCCAACTCTATAAGCTCGCCTGTTCCTGTCCCAACTCTATATGCTCAGCCGAAACGAATTCTCGATTATTTGCAGTTTGGAAATTGTGAACAGGCTTGCGAAAAACACAAGAACGTTTTGCGAATGTTTGTCACAATTAACGGCTCTTCACACCTGCTTGGTCCCCATGGCCGAAGCTCAG